AAGAGCACATGTGGGAAACGCTACCATGTTTAGCAACACTTGGGAGTTATATGGTCAAAACCTAAGACAGACGTTGGGCACACTGCCTCCGCATTAGACTGGCTAACACTCCTGTAGTAAGTAGGGAGGTGTGACACTCTGGGCCCAAAAGCAACACCCTGGCACCCCCGTATTTACTAGGGTGATATGATTATGATATGCTTTGTACAAAGTATGCCTTGGGAGGTTCATTTTGAACGTCTTAATCTGTTGAACATTAATATCCTGTTGGATTGTATGAAGTATTGTGAAATGAGTTACTAAAAACTGTTATGATGTTGGGAACACCCACATTACAGTTACAATAAAGAAGTAGCCATCTACAGCCAGAGAGCATTAATGGCTCATCAACCCACAATCCACTATCCCAGAGAATACTTGGAGAAGGCAAGCAGGCCATGGGGTGGACTACCACATGTCACAGTAAGGATCTTTCTAGCAAGCTGGAAGAAGGTATAAAGAGAGAGACAGTGACATCATCACTTAGCCTCTTGCCTCTACCCCATCTCAACATCTGGAGGAAGGCCTGGAAGACAGAGACTTTGAACTGGGGAGCTTGGTTCCAGGCTGGAAAAGGGGCCAGTCTGTGCACTGAGGAACTGTAACCTGCTCGCAACAGCTGTCAGGGTGAGAAAAGCTGTTTGAACCAACTCTTGCTTAGAATAAAAGTTTAGGATTTACAATGGGTGTTTCTATTTTTATTTCTTAAGATAAGTAACTTTGACCTTTATGCTTACCACTTATAATCACTTAAAATCTATCTTTCTATAGTTAATAAACTTATTTTAATGTTTTAGCCTTACCAGTGAATCTGTCTAAAGTGCTTGAGAAATCAGCCCAGGTCTGCATGTCCACTTTCCTTTGACAAAGTGGCAAACTAGGTAATGAACTTACACTGGCCAGGCTTCTGACCAGTGCAAAATGGGACTGTTCTGGGGTGCAAGGCTGGAGAGCTGGGGGGAATTGGCTGGAGCCTATTGATCATTCGTGAGTGGCTGGGAGATCATCTGTGTTACACAGTTGGGTGTGTCCCTGCCTGTGGATGGCTGTGTAAGTGCAGTGCCTATCAGAGGCTTGGAGCTTGACATCAGCATCACAGTGTGAGAGGCAGCCCAGGCAGTGCAATCCACACTAAGGCAGTTGAATATTTTAACATCAAAACCAAAACATTGTTCATGGTTAAGCTACAACCCCAAAGCCAATTAAATCTTCCTCCTCAGATTTCACGATTGGCTAAATCCTTCTCCTTCCCCCTCCAACACAGATCAAAACCTTACTGGGGCTTTAATAAGCAGAAGTTTAACAGCTTGTCACTGAATAGTTTACAGCTAACAGTTTAGTTCTTCAGACTTCACAGAATGGGGAGTACACATTCGAGCATTTCAGAGGGCAGAGTTTAAGGGATATTTAGATTTGGAGAACTATTCTATCTGGTGCGTTCCCTGTCTGGATTCCACTGGCGATCACTGGTGCACACACTGACACACTACTATGATAGGAAAGCCAGGACATCTACCAGTCAATAAAAATGAAAGAAAAAAACAGGACAAGGAACGCTAAAATGACAAGGGGTTGGAACTTGCCAGCTCTTGTAGTGTTCCGACTCACATAGAGTAGGAGCAGTAGCTGTAGTCAAGAAACAAAGTGATTGGGCAGCTGGCCAAGCACTCCCCACTGCTGGGTTTTCTCAAGTATAGAGAGATGGAAAAGGCTGCCAGAGCCTGTCATTGATGACATGACTTCCTTCCCTAGAGGGGATCAATCTTTCTTAGAGAGCTTGTTGACTGGAAAGGTAGAAGATTTCAGCCTTTCCTTGGTCTTTATGGTTGACAATTCCAGCTTACTCCACTTTAGGGTGTGTCCCCTGAGATCTCTGGGCAAATCAGGGTGAAGTATGCCTTGGACACCAACAACATGACCCAATGCAGTTGGAATGAGGCAAACTTTGGGTTAACATCGTTTTGGAAAATTCTTCCCTAATCCAGCAGTTTTCTTAAAGTACCTGTTCATGAAAACCATATTCAGTGTAGATGTGTGAACCCCAAAGATAAAAACGAAAGAAAAAGCAAGGCCAGTTTTGAGGATGGCTCCATAGCCTGGCCTAAACGGTTCAATAGCTATGCTTTAATATCTAGTATTAGGATATAGATATTCAGGCCTGTCTGCAAAGGCCTGTACTTCAAGAATTTAGGTGTATTCTTATCACTTGGCTAGTTATAGAGGTATAAAAGAAAGAATCAAAATCACTGTCTGCTGGTGTAAGGTCCTTCTCTTACTGTGATAGTCTGAGGCCCTGTTCTTAGGCTAAGGCCTTTGGCTAAGCAACAGGCAGCCATAAACTGGGACGCGACCGGTCACATCCTCACATTCCAAACTAGTCACATTGAAAGAAGGTGCTATTGGGCTGTTAGGAATACAATCCTGTCCTGATAGTGCCTATCACCTCCAGAGAAAGGAAAGTGCCTAGAAAACCTGGATTTGTGCTGGAAATGGCCCACCTGTTGATCACTTTAGATAAGCTATTACCAGCAGGACAGTGGGGTGGGAGGAGGTATTGTTTCATATTCTCTGTGTGTATATAAAGTCTGCTGCAGTTTCCACGGTATGCATCTGATGAAGTGAGCTGTAGCTCACGAAAGCTCATGCTCAAATAAATTGGTTAGTCTCTAAGGTGCCACAAGTACTCCTTTTCTTTTTGCGAATACAGACTAACACGGCTGTTCCTCTGAAACCTGCCTAGAAAATGTAAAAGGAAACTTAGTTTGATAGCATCCTGTCTGGCAAGAACTCACTTATCAATAGCTAGGATGTGAAATCCTCACTTCTGTATTGTTTTGTCATTATAGTTCCCACTTTGCTATTGTTTGTCTGTATAATCTCTGTCTGGTTCTGTGATTGTTCCTGTCTGCTGTATAATTAATTTTGCTGGGTGTAAACTATTTAAGGTGGTGGGATATAATGGTTACATAATCATGTTACAATATGTTAGGATCGGTTAGTTAAATTTCAGTAAAATGATTGGTTAAGGTATAGCTAAGCAGAACTTAAGTTTTACTATATAGGCTGCAGTCAATCAGGAAGTGAGGGGGTGGGGAAATGGGAACAGGGAATGGAGGTAAGGAAATTGGAATCATGTTCTGCTAAAGGGGGAAATGAGAACAGGGAATGGGAATGGGGAAATTGGAATCATGTTTTGCTAAGGGCAGGAATGGGAACAGGGACGCAGGTGTAAGGCTCTGTGGTGTCAGAGCTGGGAAGGAGGATACTAAGGAAGGAAACTGGAATCATGCTTGCTGGAAGTTCACCCCAATAAACATTGAATTGTTTGCACCTTTGGACTTTGGGTATTGTTGCTCTCTATTCATGCGAGAAGGACCAGGGAAGTAAGTGGGTGAAGGAATAAGCCCCCTAACATCTAGCTTTTTCAAAAGGAAAGGAAAGGGGTCTGACTACCTATAAAAATAACTGGTTACAGAGGTTTTTAACAAAAAGAACAAACCAAAAAACTAGTAATGGTCTCATGCTTTTTCCATCATCTTTCTTATAAATATATATTGACATCTCATCACAGAAGTTGTCTTTCCTTTGCTAACAAGAACTAGAGAAACTAGGTAACCCTAACAGTCTAACTGGGTAAAAGGTTACATAACTGTCTCCTTGAGTAGTTGTGCTCCTAACAGAAATTGACTTTAAAGCTTGTCAGAATAAATTCAGTTTGAAATAGAAATAATTAAAGTCTATACAGTTCTGTATTCTCATGCACATTATTACTCTCTCATATTCCATCATCACAACCTTTGGAGTATGGTTTTATTTCAGAATTCCTTAGTAAGAAGTGGTAAAATACCTCAAATAAGATTTTAAGGATTAGCTACTGTTTGCTATATTAGTAATGAAAAGAGAAATATAATCAGAAATATATTGGAAAGATTAAAGTTATCACATAATTAGTCTCTTGTTCGTTAACAAATAATGAACTTCATGTTTAATTTCATTGTCACTGGTAACAATAACATAATCAAAGATTACAAAATCTTATAATATATGGTACTTTCCTTTAATTCCATTTAACACCCATTTCCACCAAATGAACCCTTCTGTAAACTTGTGGTTTACACCCATATAGGTGCCTTCCATTTCTGGAAGTTAATTTATCTGTGGCTTTTCTGACATAAGTGTTGGTGGAAAGGGTCTCACACTACGGGTGGGAAGGCTTGCAACATGAGTAAAACCATCTCTATTCTATTTTCACACTTTTTATCTTTCAAAGTAGCTGGAGATGGAGACATGATGCAAAGGCATAAAACACAAGACCAAAACTAAGAGACTAAAGCATAGAATCAGGACTCAACATTCATGTATCTTGCAGTCTGAACCTGGAGCTTGACACAGTATTTCCCTAATGGGTTACCACCACTTGCACAGAAGGAAAGTCCTTATTGTCCAACAGTGCAGCCAGATTGGGATTCATGAGGAAGGAATGTCCTCAGAAAAAGAGTTGATCCTCCACTCTGCCTCGTGAAACTTTGGATTCAAATGGTAAAGGGCAATTTCAATCTAACCACTGCATCCTTTGGGACTCTAATCAATGCCACTGAACTAGGGAGTTGTGTTCTAAACACAGTTTTACTTTGACCATAGCTGTCAAGGTTCCTCCCCCACTCTGAACTCTAGGGTACAGATGTGGGGACCTGCACGAAAACCTCCTAAGCTTACTTTTACCAGCTTAGGTTAAAACTTCCCCAAGGTACAAGCTATTTTACCCTTGGACTTCCACTGCCACCACCAAACTTTATCTGGGTTCCTGGGAAAATGTAGTTTGGACACGTCTTTCCCCCCAAAATCCTCCCAACCCTTGCACCCCACTTCCTGGTGAAGATTTGGTAAAAATCCTCACCAATTTGCATAGGTGACCACAGACCCAGACCCTTGGATCTTAAGAACAATAAAAAAGCATTCAATTTCCTTACAAGAAGACTTTTAATAGAAGTAAAAAAAGAATCACCTCTGTAAAATCAGGATGGTGAATACCTTACAGGGTAATTAGAGTCAAAACATAGAGAATCCCTCTAGGCAAAACCTTAAGTTACAAAAAAGACACACAGACAGGAATATTCATTCTATTCAGCACAGTTATTTTCTCAGCCATTTAAAGAAATCATAATCTAACACATAGCTAGCTAGATTACTTACTAAGTTCTAAGACTCCATTCCTGTTCTGTCCCCGGCAAAAGCATCATACAGACAGACACAGACCCTTTGTTTTTCTCCCTCCTCCCAGCTTTTGAAAGTCTCTTGTCTCCTCATTGGTCATTTTGGTCAGGTGCCAGCGAGGTTACCTTTAGCTTCTTAATCCTTTACAGGTGAGAGGATTTTTCCTCTGGCCAGGAGGGATTTTAAAGGGGTTTACCCTTCCCTTTATATTTATGACAATAGCTCACAACAGCTTTCATCTCTATGGTGAAAACCAATTACTGGGTGCCTGCTGTTTTTACCTGAGTTCTTGCCAAATCCTTGGTCTTGATGAGGGCAAATTTACATTTCTCTGGAGAAGAATCCTTTACCAAACCATCCAAAATCTCAGAAGTGCTAGTGAAGAATGACTTACCCAAACATGCTCAGTTTATTTCTTTAATCTGATGGAACAAGTCTAAATTAGAAACTAAATAAACGTCTGGATGAGAATCACTATACGGTACAAGACGTGGGGGGTTTATTCAAAAAGAGTAAACTTTCTGCAGCTGTCCCACATTAAACACTCATTTCATTTGATACACATTGGAAGCATTACAGAGGGTGAGTTCAACAAGAACAACAAAACACTTCTATTTTCTCCACATTTGCATTGCTAGAGACAGCACTTCTCTCTGTTAGGATTAGTTAGGAGATATCTTCAGGAGTAACCACCTCTAGAGCCTGGGTAACAACTAGGGTTGCTAACCTTCCCAGATTGGCCGGGAGTCTCCCAGAATTGGCCTCAATCTCCCGGTGGCTATTACAAGCCATTCGTGAAATTTTAATAGGTCGTTAAAAGTCCAGTGGGCAGTGCAGCAGGGCTAAGGCAGGCTCTCTGCCTGCCCTGGCTATGAGCAACTCCTGTAAGTGACCGGCAAGTCCCTCTGTCTCTTAGGCGCAGGGACGGCCAGGGATCTCTGCGCACTGCTCCCGTCCAGAGTGCTGACTCCACAGGTCCCATTGGCCCGGAACTACGGCCAATGGGAGTTGCAGGGGTGGTGCCTGCAGGCAGGGGCAGCACGCAGAGCCACTTGTCACCGTTCCTCAGTCATAACTGAGAATACCAAATTCAGGACAAACTCAGAAATAGGCCAGACACACCCCAAAACTGGTGGTTATTCTCCCATAAGATATACCAGACCAGCAACAAACGTAAACTTCTGTTTCACCACTCTGCCTAACAAAAAGTCAGAAAAGCAGTTTCCTTAGGTATTCCAGTCCTTGTATCACCACCAAAAACACTAAACTTAATGATGAGTAGTTATTTAAAACCAATTTAATCAACCAAAGGGTTCTTCTGATCTCAGAGGACCAGCCACACACCCAGGTCAATACAGAACTCAGATCTTACCCAATAAACATGCTGTTGCCATTCCTTTAGTATCTAAAATCTAAAGGTTTATTTATAAAATGAAAGAAAGAGGTGAGAGTTAAAATTGGTTAAAAGAATGAAATACATACAGTAACTGCAAAGTTACTGGATCAGGCTTCTAGCAGTGATGGAATAAATGCGGCAGTCCAATGATGAGACAGAACACAGCTTTATGCAAGCAAGCAGGCTGGTCAGCTGAGATGGGCGTTCTGCCCCCCGCCTTCCACCTTCTCCTTTTATTATATTTCTCCCCCCTCAGCATTACACACTGCTACCGCAAAAAGATACACAAAAGAATGTATGACGTTGATTAATATACTTAGTTGCATCTTTTAGCTACTACAATCCTGGTTCTCAGGCCTTGAGCCCAGGCTAAGAAAGCCTCCCGCAGTTACTGTCCCAACAATCAAGTTTTCATGGTTCATATCTAGCCCTTGTCCTTGGATAGAGCAATGTGTGCATTGCTTCTACAGAACAGTCAAGGTGTGCCCTGCCTGCTTCCAGGTGGAATAGCTAAACATGAACCCTTCAAATAAACTAATGGCTTGTTAAGTCTCTGGTTGCTGCCAAATCATTGGAAGGTCCTCAATCAATTGGTTAGAATGCTCCCATTAGTGTAAGTCCATATTCCAGTGGCGATGTTTCCAGGGCTTTTACAGCTTCTGCGAAGTGAAGGGAAACCCATTGTTCTAGTTTGTGGAAAATTACAGGTAACAAGATGGGGTTTGGAGTCACATGGGCAAGTCACATGTCAGTGCCTGCTTCGCTTAGTTATAGCGGAGGCCATTACCCATACTTTCTTTAGTTAGAACGTTCACAGGAAAATCCATCAGGCATGGATAGAAGTCTTCCAAGGTACACTGTGAGTTCAGTGTTCTTTGATGGGCCATTCAACTTGAATAGTTCCTTCACAGTGTGCTGGCTAAATATCTTGTGGGTGTTACCACAGGAGCAAACGTGTAGTAATACAGGTACATAGTTAATATTCGTAACTTCAGGTACCAAGACAATACATGCATAGAAATAGCATAAGCATATTCAGAAAATCATAACTTTTCCATTGACCCCTAACTTGACACACTTTGTACAAGATCTGTTGCAATTATATAACAGTACAATGATCTATATGATCATATTTTAATTATATAATGTCACAGCCTGGCTGCCCCTGAGCCTAGGAGCCGGACACGTCAGCCGCTTCTGGGAGCTACCTAAGGTAAGCACCGCCCAGCCGGAGCCCGCTCCCCACACCCCCTCCCGCCCCCAAACTCCCTTCCAGAGCCCTCTCCCCACACTCCAACTCCCCACCCCAGGCCTAAGCCCACTCCTGCACCCAAACTCCCTCCAAGAGCCCCCTCCCCCTGCCCCAGTGCTGAGTCCCCTCTCACACTCCGAACCCCTAGGCCCCAACTCCCAGGCCAGAGCCCACACCCTCTCCCCCTTCCCCAGCTCAGTGAGAGTGAGGATGGAGTGAGCGGGGGACGGGGACTCAGAGAAGGGGTGTGGCAGGAGCATGGCCTCGGGGAAGGGGCAGGGCAAGGATGCTTGGCTTTCTGCGATTAAATGTCAGCCTAGCAGTATTCAAGGTTATGTGAATATTTCCATTGGTGTAACTATATCAGGAGGTTGCACCAATGTAACTAGATTGATTTTTAGTTGCCAAGGTGCAGGCTGTCTCGTAGATAAGCCTTCGTCAGATGAACCTTGCAGGAGGATAGCTTAAAACCACTAAAAACCTTAGCAAAACCTTGATTTAAAATGTCAAGGAGAAGAGTCCTTGCAAGATTCATGTGAGCAATAATTTCCTCGATAGCATATCCCATAACTGTGAATATTCTCTCCAGTTGACTGAACTGCATTTGAACTTTCCCATTTCTTCACGGAGCGGAGAGGAAAAACAAAAAATAAGGGAAAAAATTACCATTGAAGCAAATGGGACTTTGAGACAATAAATCTGCCAGAGAAAACGAATATCCAGTTGTGTGACCAAACATCCTTTAAGAAAGAGAAAAATCTACCAGAGATATAAGACATTTTCTGTTTCCGACAGAATGAGATTCTAGAGCAGGTTTCATCTGATGACTCAAAATCAGGGCCACAGATTTTCCCACTGCATTGTCCTCTGATCCACTGAAACCTGCTTCACTCACTGCTGTCTCATTATTATTGAGTTGCATTATTTGCAAAAGTTTTAGCATCATGATAATGGTTTGTCTAGACTAGGAAATGTGGAGAACATTAGGACAGGTCAAGGGGAAATACACTGGCTAACCCACAATAGTATACTTGGGCCATGTCAGTATAGTAAACAGCTGTGATTTTACATCTGGGTAGCTCACTGGAGCTAACTACAAAAACATGCTAATGGAGAAAAGGCTCAGGTAGATTTGACCACAATCTGACTAACTGACGTCATTTGTATTTCACCAACCTGGGGCCGATGTGCACTCCTAATAAGAGGGACTCATAACTGCCATTACCCACAGAACAAAGATGATGATAGAAAGGGTCTTTGGGGATTCACCCAAAGAAGGGCAAAAAGAAAAGGAGTACTTGTGGCACCTTAGAGACTAACCAATTTATTTGAGCATGAGCTTTCGTGAGCTACAGCTCACTTCATCAGATGTATACCGCTCACGAAAGCTCATGCTCAAATAAATTGGTTAGTCTCTAAGGTGCCACAAGTACTCCTTTTCTTTTTGCGAATACAGACTAACACGGCTGTTCCTCTGAAACCAAAGAAGGGCAACCTGCAAAAAGCAAAACTGGACAACCCACCTGGGGGAGCAGAGGGACCACAATGAAGTAAATGGCACTAAGAGCCTAAATACCAAAAACATTAAAGAAAAAAACAACACATTTTATTGTTAGCCCTAGACAAGGTATTTATGGTGTTATGGCTTCACTGAAGATAAATAATGTGTGCCTTCTGATAGAAGCTTTTTTCCCACTCTCAGAACATGTACAAGGTGTCAATCCTGTGTGGACCATTAATTATCTCCTGAGGTCTGAGTGGTAAATGAAAGTTTTCCCGCACTCACAACATTCACAGGGTCTCTGTCCTTTCTGGAATCTCTGATGATTAATAAGGGCTTATCGAACAGAAAAGTTTTTTCTATACTCACAGCATTCCTAGGGCCTCTCACAAGCATGGATTCTCTGATGTCTACTCAGGGTTGAGCTCTGAGAGAAGGTTTTCCCGCACTCACAGCATTGAAAAGGTCGCTCTTGGGTGTGGGTTCTCTGATGTCTGATAAGATGTGAACGCCGAGTGAAGGCTTTCCTGCACTCACAGCATTCATAGGGCCTCTCTCCTGTGTGGATTCTTTGATGTACAATAAGCTGTGAGTGCCAAGGGAAGATTTTCCCACACTGGCAGCATTCATAGGGGCTAGTGCCTGTGTGGGTTCTCTGATGTCTGATAAGGTCTGAGCGCCGAGTGAAGGTTTTGCCACACTCACAGCATTCATAGGCTGTCTCTCTTGTGTGGATTTTCTGATGTAGAATAAGGTGTGAGCATCGAGGGAAGGTTTTACCATACTCAGGGCATATGCTTTTTCTCTCTCCCATAAGGATTCTCTGCTGGGCTGTGGTTTCCTTGAGGTCCTTGTGATTTTCCTCACAACTGATGGATTTACTCACTTTCTCCCCTAGTGGGGATACGTTTCGTTTAATTCCCTGTGATAATCCCCCACGCAGTTCCACATGCTCATCATCTTCCAGCTGTGGATTCTGCTCGTTCTCACTCACCATCCCATCACCTGCAAGAACAGAAAGAAACCTCAGAAGAAGAGATGGAAAAGGGGAGAGGAAACCAAAGGAAGTGCTGGAGAGATAGGGGAAAAATCAGGAAATTACTTCCCCCAAACTCGTTCCCAGAGGGAAAAGAGGAGGGGATCAACTGTTGTCTGAGATCCAATTCCAAAGCTCAGGATGAAGGCAGGTTAGGAACTGAACTATTGCCATGGGTCAGCCAGGATGGGTAGGAAGCCATGAGCGATATCTGCTCTGAGGATATGACACCTGCTCGGGGACAATCCCGAACTCAAAGAGCTCTCAAGGTCCTGGTAGGGAATCCCAGCTGTGTCCTTCAGGCCCAGATGGTATTTGAGTTGGTCTAATGATTCCTCACCTGTGCAGGTTTCTGTCAAGATCACTTTTTCCTCTGAGCCCTGGAGATCTGAGACCCATAGCTCTTCCCCTGGTTCCAGCTGAGACATCACCTCAGGTCTGGAGACTGGAAACCCTGCTGAGATGAAAGAAAATAAGTGAGATCAGGTGAATTCATGGGACCTTAGTCACAAAGAATATGGCCTTTTTTTTAAACCCCTGCTCATTTTAAAGCACTGAAAATCTCGAGCCAGCTCTCCAGGCGTTCAAAGGCACCAGACACTCTGCTTATAAGGGGATTTACTACTCACCTCTGCTGGTGCACACACAGCCAGACACTCCTCATCAAAGGGGCTCCTGAAACCTAGAGAAAGTAACTCCAAATTACAGAAAGCCAAGGGGAAGTCACCTTGGAACTGCTTCTTACTGACAGAGAGACCCCAAGGGAATGAGAAAGTCATAGGGAAACTGGGACTGGTGAGCATGGGCTTGTGGGGCTCAGCATAGTAATGAATGGGAAGGAGTGGAGAGATCACTGAATGAAGCATGTCAGGGGTGTTAAGGAACAGGAAAGCACATTCTGAGAAGTTAGGGAATATAGCGAGTCAGGTGAAATAGAAAGGAGCATGAAAATCTTATAATGTATGGGTAAGGTTATAGAATGACAGAATCATAGAAATGTGGGGCTAGAAGGGATTCCAAGAGGTCATTTAATCCAGCCCATGCACTGAGGCAGGAACAAAGAAACCTAGACCATCCTTGAGAGGTATTTGTTTAAGCTGTTCTTAAAAGCTTCCAAGATGTGGATTTCACAACTTCCTCTGGAATCTGATTCCAGAGCTTAATTACCCTTGTAGTCACAATTATCTTCCTAATATCTAACCTAAATCACCCTTGCTGCACATTAAGATACCAGCAGCAATGCAGAAGAAAGGGTGGCAAAGGGGCACTAAGTCTACTGTGAAAAGTGATATCGACAAAGTTTCTCCCCCACAACCCTATTATTGAACAGTAACTATTTAAAAGAATAACTTTTGGACTTACAACAATAATTCTATATAAATGTGTTTTAGTCTTTAATTAATTAAGACAATTAATTAATTTAAATTAATTTAAAACAATATGGTAATAAATTTAGCATTTAAAATAGTGTTAAATATAAAAAAATGTGTTTTAAATTTATAAGGGGAGAGGTCGCACTCAGAGGATTGCTGTCTGAAATTTTCCAATACAAAAAATTTGGAAACCACTGCTCTATGGGCATGCAGGATATGGTTAGTGGTTTACATTTGAGATTATTTGAGCAAGCAGTTCCTGAGATTCATCCCCCAGAACTCCCCCTCTCAGGATCTTTTTACACAACCCTCTTGCTCTTACAACATTTTGCACACACCTAGGCGGAAACCGTGCTTCTAATGGTTCCCAGACTGATCTCATTTCCTTGGCATTTATCTCAGCTAGTACAAGGTAACCTCCTGTAGGGCGTGGCTTACAACTGTTTTGGGAACCAAATACATGGACATTTTGCCTAGTTCCAAGTAACTTACTGTGGAACTCTCTCCCCAGATATGTGAGATAATACTGACCTACATAACTGAACAACACCGTGATTATATCCAGTTACGTAGATTAGTTGCTCAGATTGGGGTGTGCTGTTGTTCACCACTCCTGTTTCCTTGGTAGCATATCCCATAACTAGGAGGATTCTCTCCAGTTGACTGAATTGCATTTGAACCTTCCCATTTCTTCACGGAGCAGTGGGGAAAAACAAAAAATAAGGGAAGAAATTACCATTGAGGCAAATGGGAATTTGTCTCAAAGTCCCCAATAAATCTGCCAGAGAAAACGAATATCCAGTTGTGTGACCAAACAGCCTTTAGGAAAGAGAAAAATCTACCAGAGATATAAAACATTTTTCCGTTTCAGATAGATTGAGATTCTAGAGCAGGTTTCATCTGATGACTCAGAATCAGGACCACAGATTTTCCCATTGCATTGTCCTCTGATCCACTGACACCTGCTTCACTCACTGCTGCCTCATTATTATTGAGTTGCATTATTTGCAAAAGTTTTAGCATCATGATAATGGTTTGTCTAGACTAGGAAATGTGGAATACATTAGGACAGGTCAAGGGAAAATATACTGGCTAATGCAGACTAATATACTTGGGCCATGCCAGTATAGCAAACATAGTGATTTTCCATCTGGATAGCTCACTGAAGCTAGCTCACTACAAAAACTAATGGAGACAAGGCCCAGGTAGATTTTACCACAGTGAATCTAACTGACGTTATTTCTGTTTCCCCCACCTGGGGCTGACATGCATTCCTAGTAACAGGGACTCATATGCCTCTGACTCAGAGCAAAGCAGTTGATAGAAAGGATCTTTGGGGATTCACCCCAAAGAAAGGCAAGCTACAAAAAGCAAAACTGGACCATTCACCTGGGGGAGCTGAGATAACAATGAAGTAAATGGCTCTAACAGCCTCAAGGGCCACATGTGCGAATTAGCAAAAATATTAAAGAACAAAACCTATTTTCTGTCAGCCCTAACGAAGGTTTTTATGGTGTTCATCTCCCTTTGGCCTTCTCTGATGCTAAATAAGGTGTGACCTCTCATGGAAGCTTTTCCCACACTCAGAGTCTCTCTGGGGAGTCTATGCTGTCTGAATCATCTAATGTCTCCTAAGGTCTGAGTGGTAAATGAAAGTTTTCCCACACTCTGCCCTTTGTGGATTCTCTACTGATTAATAAAGGTTTCTCTATCAGACATGTTTTCTCTATACTCACAGAATTCACTCGGGTTCGCACCTGTGTGGATTCTCCGATGTCTAATGAGGTTTGGGCGTCGAGTAAAGGCTTTCCCGCATTCACAGCATTCATAGGGTCTCTCTCCTGTGTGGATTCTCTCATGCAAAATAAGATTTAAGCGCCGATGGAAGGTTTTCCCACATTCAGAGCATATGTTTTCTCTCTCTCCCTTGAAGAGTCTCTGCTGGGCAGTCGTTTCCTTGAGGTCCATGTGATTTTCCTCACAACTAATGGATTTACCCACTTTCTCCCCTGAGTGGTTTCCCTGCTGCCTCTCTTCACAACTCTTGGACATGTTCCCTTTAGTTCCTTGTGATAATCCCCTGCGCAGTCCCATGTGCTCAGCATCTTCCTTCTGTGGATTCTGCTCCATGTTTCCACTCACAATCCCATCACCTGCTAGGACAGAGAGGAACCTCAGAAGCAGGGACGGAAAGGGGGAGAGAAAGCCAAAGGAAGTGCTGGAGAAATGGGGGGAAAGATCAGGAAATGAATTCCCCCAAATTCTTCCCCAGAGGGGGTGGGGAGGGGAGGGGATCAACTCTTGTCTGAGATCCAAATCCAATGATCAGGATGAAGGTAGGTTAGGAATTGAGTTATTGGCAGATGTCAGCAATAGCTGCTCTGAGGATATGACACCTGCTAGGGGACAATCCAGAACTCAAAGAGCTCTCAAGGTCTTCGTAGAGAATCCCAGCTGTGTCCTCTAGGCACAGACAGTATTTGAGTTGGTCTAATGATTCCTCACCTGGGCAGGTTCCTCTCGGGATCTCTCTTTTCTCTGAGCCTTGGAGATCTGAGACCCACAGCTCTCCCCCTCCTTCCAGCATCACCTCAGGTCTGGAGACTGGAGATGAAAGAAAACAAGTGAGATCAGGTGAATTCATGGCCTTTTAAAAGCCCCTGCTCATTTTAAAGCACTGAAAATCTCGAGCCAGCTCTCCAGGTGTACAAAGATATCAGACACTCTGCTTATAAGGGGATTTACTACCCACCACTCTGCTGGCGCACACACTCCTCATCAATGGGGCTCCTAAAACCCAGAGAAGTAACTCAGAAGTATCACAGAAAGCCAAAGGGAAGTCACCTTGGAACTGCTTCTTACCAACAGAGACCCCCCCCAAGGGAATGAGATGGTCATAGGGGAACTGGGACTGGTGAGCATGGGGTTGCGGGGCTTGGCATAGTAATAAATAGGGAGGAGTGAGAAGATCACTGAGTGCAGCAGGGCTCAGCATAGTGAGGAATGGGAAGGAGTGGGGAGATCACTGAGTGCAGCATGTGTGAGAGGGGGAAGGATAGCTCAGTGGTTTGAGCACTGGCCTGCTAAACCCAGAATTGTGAGTTCAATCCTTGAGGTGGGCCATTTAGGGATCTGGGGCAAAAATTGGGGATTGGTCCTGCTTTGATCAGGGCGGTGGACTAGATGACCTCCTGAGGTCCCTTCCAAACCTGATATTCTATGTCAGGGGTGTTAGGGATCAGGAAAACACATTTTGAGAAGTTAGGAAATATAGCGAGTCAGGTGTAATGGAAAGGAGCATGATAATCCCCCAGTGCATGGGGAAGGTTATAGAATGATAGAATCTCAGAAATGTGGGGCTGGAAGGGACTCCAAGAGGTCATTTAATCCAGCCCATTCACTGAGGCAGGAACAAAGAAATCTAGACCATCCCTGGGAGGTATTTGTCTAAGCAGTTCTTAAAAGTTTCCAATGGTGGGGATTCCAGAACCTGGAATCCTATTCAAGAGCTTTACTACCTTTGTAGTCCCCCTCCCCTCCCCAATATGTAACCTAAATCACCCTTACTGCACATTAAGATATAGTACGGTCTTTCAACCAGTTTTATACCCACTTCATAATAATTTTATCTAGACCAGATTTCCCTAGTTTCCCTATGAGAATGGCACGTGGGACTGTGTCAAAGGACATACTAAAATTAAGATCTAGCAAATCTGCTGCTTCCCTGTAATACCCTAGGCCAGTAACACTGTCAAAGAAGGAAAATAGGTTGGTTTGATATGATTTGTTCTTGAGAAATCCATGCTAACTATTGCCCATAATGCTATTATCCTCCAGGTGCTTACAAACTGATTGCTTCATAATATGTTCCAATATTTTTACAGCTCCCAGAATTAGGCTGAGTGATCTGTAATTCCTCTGGTCCACTTTGTTCCCCTTCTAAAAGACAGGTCCTGTATTTGTCCTTAACCAGTCCTCCAAGAGTTCTCAAAGGTAATTGCTAATGGTGCTGAGACTGCCTCAGTTAGTTCCTGAAGTACTTAGGATGAGGTTGGGGAATTACATATTATAAGTCAGTAGCAACAGACTAATTCCTCTGGAAAAGAGAATATGAAAAGTAAGATTAACACCATGTGATCTCAGGAGCAACTGCCTCAACTATCCAAAGAGCCTGCAGGGAAGAGAGACTGTGGCTGCTGCAGGTAGTGAGGGGGGAGCGAGACCCTCAATTCCCACAGAAGTTTCATTACCAAGCTAGTACATCACCAGGTAAAGAGTCACCTTATGTCTGGCAGGAATGTAAGGAATCAGGAACAGTGGCTAGGGTGACGATTTGTAGGGAAGACGGGGGAGGTGTGTGTCATGGTGGTAGGGACTGAACATTGGAGAGAGAAGAATGAGAAACATAATATTTGAAAATTTGTAAAATAAAGTAAAAGTGGATTCTAATTAGAATGGAGAGCAGGCTCTACATGAACGGGGACTGGGCAGGGATTCTTTCAACAGGTTGGGATCCCCTGCAGCTCTAGATCCCCAAAACCACCCCTCCCTTCCCCCTACTAACCCCACCTTCCCCACTTACCAGGTGTCCCTTAGGCCACTCAAATGTTAAGCTGATACATTGCTCTGGTGTGTGTGGGGGTGAAAACTCCATACCCCTGAGTAACATAATTAAGCCGACCTAACCCCCAGTGTAGACCGCACTACAGAAACGGAAGAATTCTTCTATCAACCTAGCTAGCACTTCCTGGGGAGGTGAATTAACTATGGCAATTAACTACGGCAATTAACTACGAGAATCCCTCCCCCTCGGTATCGTTAATGTCAACACTGAAGTGCTAATGTGATGCAGCTGCAGTCCTGCGGCTGTGCTGCTATAGCGTTTGAAGAGTAGACAAGTCCTTAGTCCTATTTCTCCAAACCCCCCTACGTTGGAGTTGCTCTGTAATAATGATGAGTACTGACAGGTGTCCTGGATACTGGGATATTTACTGTATGAATATTTTGTAGAGCTGTCGATTAATCGCAGTTAACTCATGCGATGAACTCAAAAAAATTAATCACGATTAATCGCACTGTTGAACAACAGAATACCAACTGAAATTTATTAAATATTTTTGGATGTTTTTCTACATTTTCAAATATATTGATTTCAATAACAACATAGAATACATAGTGTACAGTGCTCACTTTATATTATTTTTATTACAAATATTTGCACTGCAAAATGATAAACAAAAGAAATAGTATTTTTTAGTTCACCTCATATAAGTACTGTAGTGCAATCTCTTTATCATGAAAGTGCAACTTACAAATGTAGGTTTTTTTCATCACATAACTGCACTCAAAAACAAATCAACATAAAACTTTAGAGCCTACAAGTCCACTCAGTCCTACTTCTTGTTCAGCCAATCACTAAGACAAATAAGTTTGTTTACATTTACAGGAGATAAATGTAAACTTCTTAATTACAATGTCACCTCAAGGTGAGAACAGGCATTCACATGGCACTGTTGTAGCTGGCGTCGCAAGATATTTACATGCCAGATACACTAAAGATTCATATGTATCTTCATGCTTCGGCCATCGTTCCAGACGACATGCTTGCATGCTGATGACGCTCATTAAAAAATGTACGCATTAATTAAATTTGTGCCTGAACTCCTTGGGGGAGAATTGTATGTCTCCTGCTCTGTTTTACCCACGTTCTGCCATATATTTCATGTTATAGCAGTCTTGGATGACGACCCAGCACGTGTTGTTCATTTTAAGAACAATTCCACTGCAAATTTGACAAAAGATACAATTGTGAAATTACTAAAGATAGCTACAGCACTTCCCACAAGATTTAAGAATCTGAAGTGCCTTCCCAAATCTGAGAGGGACGAGGTGTGGAGCATGCTTTCAGAAGTCTTAAAAGAGCAACACTCTGATGCAAAAACTACAGAACCCAAACCACCAAAAAGGGAAATTCAACCTTCTGCTGGTGGCATCTTTCTCGGATGATGAAAATGAACATGCGTTGGTCCGCACAGCTTTGGATCATTATCAAGCAGAACCCATCATCAAGTGGAATGCCCTTAAGGTCAGTCCTGGGGCCGGTTTTGTTCAATATCTTCATTAATGATCTGGAGGATGGCGTGGATTGCACCCTCAGCAAGTTTGCAGATGACACTAAACTGGGAGGAGTGGTAGATACGCTGGAGGGTAGGGATAGGATACAGAGGGACCTAGACAAATGAGAGGACTGGGCCAAAAGAAATCTGATGAGGTTCAACAAGGACAAGTGCAGAGTCCTGCACTCAGGACGGAAGAATCCCATGTACTGCTACACATTAGGGACCGAAAGGCTAGGCAGCAGTTCTGCAGAAAAGGACCTAGGGGTTAGAGTGGACGAGAAGCTGGATATGAGTCAACAGTGTGCCGTTGTTGCCAAGAAGGCTAACGGCATTTTGGGCTGTATAAGTAGGGGCATTGCCAGAAGATTGAGGGACATGATTGTTCCCCTCTATTCGAAATTGGTGAGGCCTCATCTGGAGTACTGTGTCCAGTTTTGGGCCCCACACTACAAGAAGGATGTGGAAAAATTGGAAAGTGTCCAGCGGAGGGCAACAAAAATTATTAGGGGACTGGAACACATAACTTATGAGGAGAGGCTGAGGGAACTGGGATTGTTTAATCTGCAGAAGAGAAGAATGAAGGGGGTTTTGATAGCTGCTTTCAACTACCTGAAAGGGGGTTCCAAAGAGGATGGATCTAGATTGTTCCAGTGGTACCAGATGACAGAACAAGGAGTAATGGTCTCAAGTTGCAGTGGGGGAGGTTTAAGTTGGATATTAGGAAAAACTTTTTCACTAGGAGGGTGGTGAAGCACTGGAATGTGTTACCTAGGGAGATGGTGGAATCTCCTTCCTTAGAAGTTTTTAAGTTCAGGCTTTACAAAGCCCTGGTTGGGATGATTTAGTTGGGGATTGGTCCTGCTTTGAGCAGGGGGTTGCACTAGATGACCTTCTGAGGTCCCTTCCAACCCTGATATTCTATGATTCTAACATCAGCATGGATGCATGTCCTCTGGAATGGTGGTTGAAGCATCAAGGGATATATGAATCTTTAGCACATCTGGCATGTAAATATCTTGCGACGCTGTCTACAAGAGTGCCATGCAAATGCCTATTCTCACTTTCAAGTGACATTGTAAACACGAAACAGGCAGCATGATCAGCATGATCAAATGTAAACAAAGTTGTTTGTCTGAACAGTTGGCTGAACAAGAAGTAGGACTGATTGGACTTACAGGCTCTAAACTTTTACATTGTTTTATTTTTGAATGCAGGTTTTTTTGGTATATAATTCTACATTCTTAAGTTCAACTTTCATGATAAAGAGATTGCACTACAGTGCTTGTATTAGGTGAACTGAAAAATATTATTTCTTCTGTGTTTTACAGTGCAAATATTTATAATGAAAAATAAATATAAAGTGAGCACTTTACACTTTGTATTCTGTGTTGTAACTGAAATCAATATATTTGAAAAAGTAGAAAAACATCCAAAAATATTTAAATAAATGGTATTCTATTATTTAACAGAGCAATATATCGTGCA